GGACGTGTCATCCGACCACATCTAAACGCCTCCCTCTCAAAGCTCTGCATCTTTTGTGTCTTTGGCATGTCGACTCGTAGAAATGGACATGACACCGCACACGTTCAGGTGCTGCACTCATTTGTTTACATGACACAAGACAGAAGTAGTTGCGTGACAAATGAAAAAAGAGAGCTAGAGAGAAAGGCCCTACTCAATATTTACTCCTGTGCACATCTAACCAATCACTGTGTAAAGTGGGCGTGACTGTCAGCTACAGAAAAATTACAAAAAATGACCAGTCACAGCCCCAGCGGGGAGTTCAGACACTGTTTGACTATCTGACGATCACTACTTTTTAGGGTTGCAGTGGTGTACCGGTTTCAAGGTATACTGTGATATAAAAGTTGACAGTTATCATAATGTGTACATTTGCTCATCTACAATATTTAAAAAAAAAATGCAACTGGACGTTGAATCTTGCCTTTATTTTAATTACATTCTAAGAGGGAGACTTTCTACACACACCTCCATTAACAAAATGGTTTCAAGTTTCAATTATAGTTATAAATGTTTGTTTAACCAACAATAGCCCTTCTGTTTTCATCACTTTCAGGCTCATTCTGACGTCTTAAGGGCTCATTAGAAGGTCAAGGCCACATTCAGACAAGACAACCGCACTGCGTAAAAAAAACAAAAATAGACTCTTCATTTGTGTCAAACCCCATTCTAAAATCTAAAATCAAACATGTTCAAGCCAACATGTTCCCCTAAATCTGACACACTGGACCTTTAAGTAATTTAACAACTAAATTACGTAGGTGACATAGTTGTTAACTACATCCACCACCAGACTTTCACACCCTCTTTACTTCATCATTGCTGTGAATGGGTTAATAATATCATTGATTGAAAGTCCAAACACTAAAGGGCGATATGTGTGCCGCAGTCACATGCCGATGGCCAATGACCAAGATGCCATATTTGACACTGAGAATGAGACCGGACTGTTCAAGCAGTAGGCGTCTCTGGTACATTATTTATATGCTGTAAGCACAATCATTGTGAAGAAGGATAATATGATCTCTCCTCCTCAAAATGTTTAATTGCTGTGCCGTACTCATGAATCGGTTTCTCATTACTCCAGCTCTTTATCCTACTGAACAGTGATACTCAACACGCTTTTCCCAGGACACTTTTGCAAAATGGCAGGAGGCCAGGGGCCAGTTAACAAACGAACATTAATAATATTTATTATTTTATGTAATAAATGAATTGCCTGTTTCAACCTTTAAGTGTTTTCTGTCGTCACTCATCTTTACCAAGAGGCGAATCCAGTCGCAGCAGCCCTGCACAGGTCAGGTGTACGCAGGGGCATTTGAGAACATTCAAGACTTAGCTTGAACCTCTGTTGGGGGACCCCTGCCCGTTCTCACTCACAACTCATCAAATATCACTGCTTTGTCAGCGATCTCTGCATCAAACACCAACACACAGAGGCACCATCGCGTCAGTGTGATATGAACTGGGCGGCAGCAGTTTGTGATGATGTTTTCAATGTAGTATGAAGAGCAAAGTCCATATCGGGTGGGAGGCGGTGGCGTCAGGTAGCTAGGACAGGTCCCAGTACACGCTATTATGATGGGCCCTAGTGCAGACTGTTTACTTGTGATGAAGCACACTCACCTAAACTAGCTTCCTCATGTCATATAGTCTCAGCACAATTAAAACGAGTCTTGACATTGGACATTAACAAACACCTAGCAGTTAGCATTGCTCATCTGTACATGACAAAAATACCAGACAGTAAGAAATTATTCATTTAAAGGAACGTTTTTTTTTTTATGTAAAATAAGCATTCACTTTTGTTGTACTGACTATTTTCGAGGGCATAAATAGCAGATGGCACCATTTTTAATCTAATCTTCTTTGAGCATAAGAATATTTCTTAAGCAGCAATCTAAATAACTCATTTCCTGCCTAACACATTGTTGGAGGCCCTGCTCTCTTTACGGGCCCTCCCACCCCAGGGGCCCCAATGCAACCATACTGCCTGCAGTGTCTATATTTACAGCCCTGGTGGGAGCTGAGGTGTTTGGTCAAACAACTCTGGACTTTCCATTTGTTAACCTGCTGTTCATTTCCCGTGTAAAACCAAAAGTCAGTCGAGTAATTTTAATAACAGCGTAGTGTGCCCGTATGAGTAGCATGCTACACACAACCATGATGCTTAATTCTAAACCTCACCACAGAGTTTTGTTGCCTGAACATGAGGAAGTAAACCTAAAAATAGGGCTGTCTATCAATTATAATATTCAATCGCAATTAATTGCAAATTACACTCATATTTTTTATCTGTTCTAAATGTACCTTAAAGGTATATTTTTCAAGTTTTTAATACTCTTATCAACATGGGAGTGGACGAATATGCTTGTTTTATGCAAATGTCTTAGGCCTATTATTATTATTATTATTATTGCAACAATCAAAAACCATGACAAATACTGTCCAGAATATTCTCCAGAATAACCTCAGAGGTTCTGCTGAAAGCATATCACGGCAAACTCAAGCCCAACAACAGACGGACTTATTGACCTGAATGTAACTTTACTTAGTAACACTAACACAATGTAGTGTCCTCAAGTGTCCTCCACTCACTGAGGTTTGTTTCTGCTTGACATCCACAACGTTAATGCCGCATCGCTTCCTGATTTCCCAAACTACAGGGTGGGCCCAGGGTCATAATTACAGAGGGTACATGCATTAAGTCGATCACGCATAAAAAAATATTGTGGCATGAAAAGGGATTTGCGTTAACTCGTTATTACGTATGACAACCCTACTAAAAAAAGTTTTTCTACTTTGTAAATTTATTTTGAAAAAGTCTGTTTGCACATAACGAGCAGAAAACAGCAGCTCTGAGGTCTCATTTATAAAACAGTGCATAGGATTCATACTAAAAATGTACATATGCACAAAAGTCAAAATGGCGTGAAACAAAAAATATTAACAATTTTTACCTCACCATCTGCTTCGCAAATTTCCCGTCTCCAAAATGTTTGTAAGCATGGTTCAAAGTTTCTCCCCTCAAGTCTGTAGTGTACGCCTCCTTCAGGCCTCGTTTTGTACGTACGCAGTGTTTATAAATGAGACACCAGGAACCAAGTCATTGATTTGCAAGTCACAAGCAAGTCTCAAGCACTTAAGGCCTGTGTCAAGTTCCAATTCCCAAATCCTAAACTTTGAGTTTTGAGTCCTAAACATGTCAAAATGCGTTCGTTACCAAATGTAATGCTATTTAAATAAAAGAGTAATTATAAATTACATTTACAAGAATGAAATGAATCATGGCACTTTTTTTTAAAATAACGTCCTTTCCAATCTTTGGGTTTAGGGGAAGGTATCAAGTATTTTCAAGTCAAAAAGCTCAGGTCCAAGTGAAGGCACGAGTCACTGATGTTCAAGCCAAAGTCAAGCTACAAGTCTGTCTTCATTTGTCAAGTTGAATGTTAAGTAGGGGCGCACGATAATATACTGGCTGATATTTAAAATGAACTCTCAGAGCGGCCAACATGCTTCTTCTTATTTTGCACTATGAATAAATATTATGAACATTGAAAAGATTGATTTCATGTCTCCATCAGCTGGTGGGCCGTCACCATAAGAGTATGCATGTATACTATGATGTGAATTCCACTACAGAGGAGACTTGATGATGATCACTGAAATCAGGTGGGAAAAAGTGAATATATCTATATTAGCATCGGTTATCAGTGATTTACATATTGACATATTGCATATCAGCAAAAAATCCATTATCGTGCATTTCTAGTCCAAAAGTCATCAAATTTGTGACTCGAACTCCCCACCTCTGGGAAACAGAAGTGTATTTTGAAAACATAAAATGCATGATATGAGAGGTACGCTGTCACTGAACATCCAAAAAGGACCCAGGAGGGTACCTAGCGTGACCCCTGACAAAGCGGGGGTATTTGGCAAGTTGGGATGAGAACAGGTTTGGGAACCTGACACTTTTTAATATACAGGCTCTGTTTTTGATGCTTTTTATGGGTCCTAGCACCTTATTTACTTTCAAATTACAAAAAAACTTTCAGTGTGAATCAATTTACTTTAATTGTGAGTTAGTGAACGGTCGGCGGGGCACCTGGGCCTTGAGTTGAGTATCACTGCTGTAGAACACATACTGCAGTTGGCCTACGTCTGTTTGCTTCTACTTTGTATATTTTGACTGGTATACGCCACAACACCCAGGCGAAATATTTGTATCTGAAAACCTACTTGGCAATAACTGATTCTGATTCTCAAACTGGATTTTTGGATCGTATTTTATCGTCTCATTGGTACCTGAAACATTTTCCTTTTGGATAACTGAATAATGAGATAGTGTTATGAGAGGGAATAATCACCCTTTGGTTGAACTGGTCACAACCTGTGGACACAAGCACCCTGATGATGAGTCACATCACACCGTGGCCTCATCTGAAGAGGTCATGAGCCAGAGAGGCATAGAGGGAACAGTGCTCTATACTGGGACTGAGTCCCTCCTCATCGCCCCTGTTTCTAGGACTGGAGGACAACATGCAAACATGAGATTGATAAAGACATGTTGGGATGTTGCATGTGATGTGAGCCTCTGCAGAACCTCCTGTCTGCTCTGTCAAGCCCATGATGATGCGAACTGCAGCCCCATCATCTCCCCTCTGTTATCACATCTGCAGGAGGCTGCACACGTTTCTCCAAAAATCTCTCCGACCTCAACCAACCCTTCCACGAGGAGAAGGAAGATGAGGAGGAGGATGAGGAGGGCCCCTGCACCCCCTCATCACTTGAGCCCATAACAACACTTCAGCACCAGTCCGTATCCATGTGATCAATGCACAAACCTACAGCGGCGGCGGCGGCGGCGGCGCGCCAATCAGCAGCCGATCATGATGATCAGAGAATAATAATGATGAGGTGGCTTGTTATTATTATGGGGTACAGGGATGGGGGGTACTCACTCGTCTGGGCGCGTGTCCTCGCTCATTTTTTTCCGTTTCACCTCCGGTAATAACGAGCTCCCGCCGCGGCTGCACAGCGCGGTGTCTTCATGTTTCCTCGCCCTTCAGCGGCAGAAGCGGCGGCGGATCCGGTTCTCTCCCGCGCTGCGCTCGGTTCTTGAATCCCGATTTGTGTTATGTATGAATCTCCGTCTCCCCCTCCTCCTCCTCCTCCTCCTCCTCCTCCAACACCACCTCCTCCTCCTCCTCTTCTTCTCCCGTCACTCCTCAATTACTGGAGCGCATCCGAAGAGGCGCATCCGATCTCCTCTTCCACCTCCACCTTCTCCTTCTCCTCCTCCTACGCCTTTTCTTTCTTTTCCTCCTCTTCTTCTTCCTCCTCCGCCGCCTCCTCTACCTCCTCCCACGCCGGGCCGGGCTGGAATGCGGTGACCGAAAATGGTACGCTGGTATCGGTGAGGATGGCCCCGAAAGAGCCCCATCTCCTCCTTACTCCATGTTGGATTCAGTGAGCGCAGGCAGAGCGGAGCGGACTGAGGAAGAGGAGGAGGAGGAGGAGGAGGGGGGCGGGTGACGTCAGACCCGAAGGACTGCAGAGTCACGTGCTATTACCATATAATAATAATAATAATAATAATAATATGCTAGATAATTTAACGCAAATAATAACATTTTTATTATTATTATTAATAATGATAAGAAGAAGAATTTCATTATTATTATTATTATTATTATTATTAATATTATTATTGTTGTTGTTGTTGTTGTTGTTGTTATTATGTAGCCTAAAGAAACTATCCTAGCAGTTGTAGTACAAGCACCAATACTGCCAATGTAGTATTTGTAGTAATAATTTTATTACTATTATGATACCTACTAATAATTGATAAGCATGTAAACTAGCAGGAGTTAAGTAATACTACAAGATATGATCAATTGAAATACTAGAAATAAAGTAGCCTATTGCTGATATTATAGTAGTGTTGTATGTAGTAGTATAGTGGCCTAGTCTACTGACAGTGGTCCAGTATTAGTTGTGGACCTATTAACAGCAGTGATAACAGTAGTTGAAGTGTTAAAAATAGGTGTAGTTTTAGTATCAGTAGTGGCGGTTGTCGCTGCAGTAGAATTATTAGCAGCAGTAATAATAGAGTAGTGATTTTAGCTGAAGTAGTATTTATAGTAGGGTGGATAAGTACTGGTTGTAGTTGAAGTAGAGGTAGTAGTGGCACGAAAGAGGCAGTAGCAGTTGAGGTACTCAGTATAAAGAGTACTTAAAAAATACTCCTGCACTTTTACTTCAGCATGAAATGAATAAAGGACTTCTACTTCTAGCATAGTTACCAGTAGTACTAGTAGTAGTAGTGGTATAAGTGATGTAAATACTACCAGTACTGAGACTTTAACTTTGATAAGTGATCTAATAGTAATAGTTGTTGTAGTGGCAGTGGTGGAAGCAGCTAGAATGGTGACGATATAAGTAGTACTAGTACTACTCTTACTCTAAGATCTAAACTACTGTACTATCACTGTCACTAGGACAGTAATAGTACAGTAGTTTAGATCTTAGAGTAAGAGTAAGTAACTATTAGTCCAATTGTTTCTGTGGAGATCAGACCTGTGAACTTGTGTTACTTTCTGATAACATCTTCAAATATTAACTAATACTTTACTCTGTAATACTTCACTCTCGGGTCCGGTACTTTACTCTGTTGTACTCTGTAATACTTCACTCTCGGGTCCGGTACTTTACTCTGTTGTACTCTGTAATACTTCACTCTCGGGTCCGGTACTTTACTCTGTTGTACTCTGTAATACTTCACTCTCGGGTCCGGTACTTTACTCTGTTGTACTCTGTAATACTTCACTCTCGGGTCCGGTACTTTACTCTGTTGTACTCTGTAATACTTCACTCTCGGGTCCGGTACTTTACTCTGTTGTACTCTGTAATACTTCACTCTCGGGTCCGGTACTTTACTCTGTTGTACTCTGTAATACTTCACTCTCGGGTCCGGTACTTTACTCTGTTGTACTCTGTAATACTTCACTCTCGGGTCCGGTACTTTACTCTGTTGTACTCTGTAATACTTCACTCTCGGGTCCGGTACTTTACTCTGTTGTACTCTGTAATACTTCACTCTCGGGTCCGGTACTTTACTCTGTTGTACTCTGTAATACTTCACTCTCGGGTCCGGTACTTTACTCTGTTGTACTCTGTAATACTTCACTCTCGGGTCCGGTACTTTACTCTGTTGTACTCTGTAATACTTCACTCTCGGGTCCGGTACTTTACTCTGTTATACTCTGTAATACTTCACTCTCGGGTCCGGTACTTTACTCTGTTATACTCCGTAATACTTCACTCTCGGGTCCGGTACTTTACTCTGTTGTACTCTGTAATACTTCACTCTCGGGTCCGGTACTTTACTCTGTTATACTCCGTAATACTTCACTCTCGGGTCCGGTACTTTACTCTGTTATACTCCGTAATACTTCACTCTCGGGTCCGGTACTTTACTCTGTTGTACTCTGTAATACTTCACTCTCGGGTCCGATACTTTACTCTGTTATACTCCGTAATACTTCACTCTCGGGTCCGGTACTTTACTCTGTTATACTCCGTAATACTTCACTCTCGGGTCCGGTACTTTACTCTGTTGTACTCTGTAGTACTTCACTCTCAGGTCTGATACCTGCAACCTGTTCTTCAAAATAAGAGCCCTGTTTTATTTTCCTATCAGTTTCTAATCAGCTGACCACCTGCTCTTCTTCTGCCACATCATAAATCACTGTGTTTTAGTGACACCTTGTGGTCAAACCATGCTTCTGCAGTCGCACTTCACATCTGTACCACATCTGTTCTAACTACAATAATCGACAGTGTTTAATGTTTATTTGGTGAAGAAATGGTAGACGTGACTCTGTGTGTGTGTTTCATATTTCTAAGACGTCATTTAACTGTGACTCTGTGTTTTATGTGTCTTTATTTGGCCTCACGTTATTTGGAAAGTCCAGAGCAGAAACTCAGTGATTTTAATGTGTTGCTAATAAAATCTACTGACCTGCAGGTGATATCCAGTTGTGACTAAACTACACGTCTGCAGGGTTAAAAAGGGTTGGACTCGAGGTTATATCAGTCTGCAGAGTCTGAGTGAAGAGCTCAAATATTTTAGTAGTCAAAATGAAGTTCTATCTTTTCTCTAAAAGTAATAAAAATAAAAACTACAGTCAGCTTGGATCAAGGCTGTAGTCATATACCATGCAGGACTGTATGGTCTGACTACAAAATTATTTTTTTAGGACAAGTTATGATTATATTTAGACTAGATATCATAAAATGTGACTGTTGTAGGGAAAAATGAATAAATTAAAAGGGATTTAATAAGCAGAAAAGTCTCTAAAACAACATTTACATTATAGTTCAGGGGATAACGTACTGAAAATAATAAAAATGTTCGACTTTCTGAGATTTTTTTTTGTTTTTTGTTTTTTTTTTATTTTTATTTATTTTTTATTTTTTTTCTAAAATCTTGGTCCCTGGCTCAGATTTATATTCATTAAAATGTTATAAGGAAAAGTTTTACGGGCAGAAAAAAGCAATAAAGCTCCACACTTCACTTATCTTTGAACACAGGGATATACGGGCAATCTGAATCACTTGCAAGGGCCCCCCTCACTGTACAGGCCCCTCCACCCCAGGGGCTCCAGTGCAATCGCACCGCCTGCACTGTCTGTATTTCCACCCCTGTTTATGAACACTAGTTGTTGCTACTATAATTTGTGTTACTGTAATTGAAGCATTCTCTGGCACAAGAATTTCCTGCTGGATGAATAAAGTTCTATTGAATTAAATTAATTTGCATTGTATCTGTTTCTAATAGCTATATAGATTATTAATCTTTGTTTTTGTGATTAAACTTTTTTTTTGTCCTCAGTTTGTTGTGTACTTTTATTTTGAAGTTTCTGTTCTGCAGGTGCAGCTTCCTTTAGAGGCGGGACATCTGTGTGCCCACTTCTCATTGGATAATTGATAAATAGTCCGCCATCTTGTGGTGTATATAAACGCTGTGCCTCCACCTGCTCTGTAAAATACTCTGACATATGCAGTGAAGACTCACCAGTGCTGACAGGTTGTTTTTACGTGTGGTAACATTTTGTAAGTTGAGCACGGAGCCAGCTGAAGTAGAGACAGCACACTTTATAAAACGTCTCTCTCTGTCCCCATGAAGAGGACAAACACGGGGAACACCTGAGCAGGTATGTCACCATCTGCTCTCCTTTCCTGTGATTAAACAGTCTGTAGTTGTTTTACATCAGGATTCATTAGAGATGGTGGACAATATGTTTCTGTACATTGTCTCAGACTTGTGTTAAATGAAGAAAACCTCGTGACTGATGACAGGTAAAGCTTCAAACGTCTCTGCCGCTTCAGAAAGTTTCATTCAGTTTGACAGTTTTTAAAGTTTTGTGGCCAAACTTTGTGATGGACACTTTAGTGGGTAGAGTAGAGAAATCTGGAGATGTACACCAAAGAGACATCATTTTAAGTGTGAGAGCATTTTCACCTGATACACTATAATGATTAAGGGCGGATCATTAGACAATGGGCCCCTGGGCACAGATGTGTAAAAGGCCCCACCAACGTCAGACATTGGAGAAATTTATTGTATTAGTCCGAGTAAAACTGGACTTTGAAAATACATATTAACATGTTAGTCCAACTGAAATTGGACTAAATCAAGTTTCTAAAAGTGGAACTAACACGCACAGATAATGTGATTGGGAGTCGAATTCCTCCTGCATGTATACAGCCAATCAGACCCAGACTAGCAAGAAACAGAAGAAGCCGGTAACAACGTGGAGAAATCTACATCCAGAGCTGTGTATTTTTGGACAGACGAAATGTACAGAGCTGCAAAGTTTCCACCATGGTACCAGTTAGCTGCTAGCTAACCGTAGCTAACTTGTTTGTCCATTGTTTGGTCTGTGACGTCAGCCCGGTCTCACTCCAAAGTCGTAAAAATCCAATGCTTAGGTAGTGACTTATGGCATCAGACACTGAGAAAAAAAGCCGCCCTTTAATGTCGGCATGATACGCCATACGGCTAGTCACTGTTTTATTTTAAAGGCGCTCGGTGGTGTCAGGGGGAAAGGCGGCGGCACAAGAACAAAAGTTAAGGCAGCGAAAATCCAAGTAGGGCGGGTGGGAGGGGTGGTGGATGCATCCAACAAACTCTGACTGTCACCCGGGAGAGCGTTGTTTGTGTCCCTTAAGGTTATGAAACCAAACCGTGTGATTTTTTTCTCCCTAAACCTAACCACGTGCTTTAGTTGTTGGAGGAAAAAACACATCAATTTGCGGTGTTAAACCAACGTAATGCTTTTATTTTGAAAGAGAATGTATGTAAATGGTGAATTTCCTGTGAAAACAGAAGTGTATTTTGAAAACAGACAATGCATGTAACAGGCTGAACTTGACACGGCGTCCCAGAACGTCAACAACCAACACACCCAGGGTACCTT